TATTATTTATTACTATTATTATTGCTGTTGTGTGTCTGCCTGTGTCTGTGTGTTGTGCTGGGGCTTGAATCCACTCTACCACTGAGCTACTCCCTCATTCCTAAAATCCTCTTTTGTTGTTTGGTTTTGTTTTGAGACAGGATTTTCCACGTATCCTGGAACTCCTTGCAAACCTGCTTCAGACTCCTAAATTTGGGATTACAGGTGTGAATCTATGCCTGGCTCTTGAAATCCTCTTTAAGGGCATTTCTTCTAAGAAAACTGATAAGCTAGGCGTGGTGGGTCCCCTGAAACTGAAGTTATGGACAGCTGTTAGCCATCATGTGGGAGCTGGGATTCAAACCTGGGTCCTGCAAGAGCAGCCAGTGCTCTCGACTGCTGAACCAAGATTTCTACCAAATATTCTATAGCCTGTTGGTTTAAAATGTAGAGAAGGGTGCTTTTCTTTGCTTTTTTGCTTTTTTTTTTTTTTTTTTTGGTCTTTTTGAGACAGGGTCTCCCTGTAGCCCCAGCTGGCCTGGAACTCACTATGTAGACCAGGCTGGCCTTGAACTCACAAAGATCCATCTGCCTCCCAAGTGCTGGGACTACAGGCGTGCACCACCGGATGCCCAGCGAGAGAAGGGTACTTTTAGTGTTTATAAATTGATGTGCAGGAACGGCCCTCACTGTCAGATGAGTTATTTGGTTACACTAGACTTCACAGGGATAAAGCTTTATCGTACCCAGACATGCTTTCATATTCCAGCCTCTTCTGACACAGAGCAATTGCTGTAGCTATCAGCTATCTTTGTAGCTGGGGATGCAGCCAGGTTGGCAGAGTGCTTGTCTAAGCACATGAGGCCCTATGTTCAATTCCCTCACCCCATAAACCAGTGGCACGTGCCTACAATCCCAGCACTTGGGAGGTGGAGGCAGGAGGATCAGGAGTCACATAGAGCAACATAGAGAATTCGAGGCCAGCCTGGGCTATGTGAGTCCCTCTCTACAAGAAAGAAAAAGGAAAGAAAATAGAAATTACTATCATTAGACAAAAGTTTTAAATTTTATTGCTTTAATAATAATGTCATAATCATAAATTGATTTGTGGCCTTAATGTTTGGACATTGTTTCCATTTCTAAATACTTTATTTTCTGTGATTTATTTTATGTATATGACTGTGCTTGCATGTATGTGTGTGTACTATGTGAGTGCATTGCCCATGGAGGCCAGAAGAGGGGATCAGATCCCCTGGAGTTACAGGTATTTGTGAGCTGCCCAGCATGGGTGCTGAGACCTCAACTCAGGTGCTGTGCAGAGCAGCAAGTGCTCTTAACGTCTGAGTCATCTCTCCAGCCCAATTTAGAAAAGTGTGTATCAGCCAGACAGTAGCTGCTGGCGAGAGTGTTCGTTCATCAGAGCAGAAAGGTGGTGATCACAGGTGTTGTGACTCAGTCCCCCACCTACACAGCTCTCCCCCAAGCCTCACCAGTGAGAGGCAGGTGGTGGAAGCACAAGGACACACATCAAGAGGTGACTTGAGCATGTTCAGGCTGCCTGGGATCAGAGCACAGAGCCTGCTTTCCAGTCAGGCTCTCCAGGAGCAACCCCCACCCCCGCCCCTAATTCAGGTCACTCCATTGGTGAGTTCATGAAGTAGCTGGCTTTGGGGGACAGTTATTACTAAAATACAAGAGAAGCAGTTACGTAAAAAAAGTAACACCAAGAGGCAGATGGGTGAGGGGATGTAGAATAGTCTTGAAGTGGCATGTCCACCACAGCAGTGGCTAGAATTCCTTGACAGGTAATTAACAGATTGATTTCAAAATGAGTCACCCAGGAATCTAGGCCTTTACATCAGCCTCTGTTGTTTCTGTGATTAAGTATCTCTTAAAGATTTTAGAGTATGGGCCTGGGAAGATGACCCAGTAGTTAAGAGGGATTCTGTTTTTGCATAGCACCCAAGTTCCAATGTTCACAGTGCCCACATGGGCTGTTCACAACTACCTCTAACTCGAGCTCCAGAGTAGCTAACGCCCTCTTTTGGCCTCCACAGGTACCTGCACACAGGTACATGTACCCACCCACAGACACGCCCATATACAGGGTCTCATTATGTGGTCTTGGCTGGCCTAGAATGTTCCATGTAAACCAGTCTGGTCTTGAACTCACAGAGATCCATGTGCCTCTTCCTCCCAAGTGCAGGGATTAAAGGCGTGCACCCCACACTTGACCCTAAAAATAAATCTTTCCTAAAAAAATCAGAGTACTCATTTGAATTTTTTTTCATTTTCTGCAAACTTACTGAGTGCCACATATATTTGAGAACTATTTCTGCCTTAATTTTTTATTTGCTACACAATCACAGGTGAGTCAGCATGGAAACAAGTTGTGCACTAACTAGCCCTGTATCCCAAGGTTGTTCTTAGACCCGCTTATCTCTCCTGCCCCAATAAATGCAAATAAAACAGAAAAAAACAAATGCCAGAAAGACGCAGCCTGGCTGGAAGGAACGTACTTGCTTCGCTTGCACGGCATCTATTAGAAATGCAACAGAGGGAGGGAGAGCAGGCTCAGCAGTTAATGGCAAGCACTGCCCTTGGAAAGGACCTGAGTCCGGTTCTCAGCACCCATATCAAGTGGTTCATTGCTGCTTGTAACTCCAGTTCCAGGGGATCTGTTGCCCTCTTCTGACCTCTGCAGGCATCTACAGGCATACACACACGTGCATGCACACACACACACACACACACACACACACACAATTAAATTCTGGGTGTGGTGACGCATGCCTTTAATTGCAGCACTTGGGAGGCAGAGGCAGGTGGATCTTTGTGAGTTCGGGGCCAGCCTAGTCTACATAGTGAGTTCCAGGACAGCTGGGGCTACAGGGAGACCCTGTCTGAAAAAAGACAAAAAATAAATATAAAAATAAAAATAAATTCTAAGCCAGGTGTGGTGGTGCACATCTTTTGTCCCAGCACTGGGGAGGCCGAGGCAGGCAGATCTCTGTGGTTCCAGGCCAGCCTGGTCTACATAGTGTGTTCCAAGCCAGCTGGGGCTTCAGGGTGACCCTGTCTCAAATAAATAAAAAAATAAACTTTAAAAATCGAAGTGCAACAGTGAAGACCTGCTCCTCCCCGTTCTCTGTGGTTGATCTGCTTCAAGTGAGGGGAGCCAGAAACCTCTCCTGGAGAGGACCGGAAAGGAAAAGACCCCAAGATCTGGAGCTTTAGAAAGACGTGGACCTACACAGGGCAAGCTGCAATGCAGTGCCAGCCAAGGGTGGAGTCGCAGCACTGACCCGCAGCTATCACCCTGAGGCCTGGCTCTGCAGTCTGGGGAAAGCAGCCTTGACCAGAACATGAATTCACTTTAGATAAAAGGAGTTTCACATTCTGACCTGATGAAGAACATTCTAGATATCCAGAACATAAATGAAGAAATAGCTTCTGTTTTAAGATAGCAAAAAAGTCATGGGACCAAAAGTGTGTATATAACGGAGGCCAGGTGTGGCACGGGCCTTTGTCCCAGCACTCAGCTTTCAGGAGGCAGAGGCCGATGGATCTCTGTGAACTCAAGGCCATCCAGGGCCACATAGCATGTAGCCTGTCAAAAAGGGGGCGGGCAGGATTGGGGTCGGAGGGGTGCTGGAGAGATGGCTCAGTAGTTAAGAGCACTGGCTGCCCTTGCAGAGAACCAGGGTTCCATTCCCAGCACCCACGTGGTGGCTCACCACCAACCCTAACTCCATCCATGTTCAGGGGATCTAGGGGATGGCTTCCATGAGCATTCCACACATGGGTGCACTTACGTACATGCATGCAAAACACTCATATACACAAAATAAAAGTATATATAATGGAAATGGAGATGTGATGAGAACGGGCAGAAACTGTCCTGAGTGTACCTGAAAGGCAGTGACTGGACCAGACTGGAAAGCTCCTCTAGTGCATCCAGAGGACATTACAACCAGAAGGGCCTGCAGACAGCAGAGTGCGGGGTCAGCCTCTCTACGGGTGTCGTGTTCTCCTGTCACTCTCCCTCTTTCACTTTGTCCATTCCTGTCATGACACCCGTCACTAGGAGGACTGTGCACCACTGATTTTATTGTCTCACCATTTTTCAGGCTGCTGACCTCTTATAGCCTTTTGTACACAGACAGCCAAGGATACGTCAGCCGCCTCCTGCTGTCACTGGGTTGTGCATTTTAGCCTGGGCATAGCTGCACCTCTGGTATCTGCCTTATTTCCTGGCTCAGTATGTAGTTGTTGCATGAATGAATAAATGAGTTAATACATTTTTGATATAGCTTCATTGTCCTCCACGAGTCACTTTCTCTGTTTGGCCAGTTTTTCAGTGGGGAGAAAGACCAAGAGGAACTCTGCCGAGTGTGCCTTGCTGTGAGCACTCGGATATGATGTGCAGCAAACCTTTCTAGGAGCGACCTCCCTGGACCTGGAGTCCTCCAGAGCTGCATGAGCATTTTTTATTTTAATTTTTTGTTTATTTGTATTTATGTGTATGTATGTGTGTCTGTTTGATTACCACATATATGTGGGTGCCTGTGGAGCCAGAAGAGAGTGTCAGATCCCTGGGAGATGGAGTTACAGGCAGTTGTGAGCTGCCCGCCATGGATGCTGAGAACCAAGCTCTGATCCTCTTGAAGAATATTAAGCATTCCCAACCACTGAGCCATCTTTCCAGCCTCCATAGTTGTGGGTCTTCTGTTGTTGGTGGTGGTTTTTTGAGACAGGGTCTCCCTCTGTAGCCTTGGCTGGCCTGAAATTCACTGTGTAGACCAGGCTAGCCTCGAACTCACAAGATCTTCTTGCCTCTGCCTTCTGAGTACTGGGATCAAAGCTGTGTGCCATGTCTGCACTTTGGCTTTTTTTTTTTTTTTTTTTGTTCTCTTTTTTTTTTTTTAATCTTTATTTTACAAGACTGTGTAGGATATCTCAGAATGGGACCAGCAACATAGTAATGTCATTGAGTTAATTTTTCTTTCTCTCTTTTTCAGGCTGGAGTAAAAGGGACATTGGGAAGATTAGTTGGAATTTTTGAGGTAAATCTGTTAATGTTGGTATAGTGGCGTATTAGTCCTCATTGTCCTGATTGTGGAAGGGGGTCACCTGTGTCTCACTGAATTGCAGAACAAGACAGCATTCAGCAGAGAATAGCTTTCTTTGCTTTTTATTCATGTGTTTATGTGGGCGCACATCTGTTCACATGTGTGTAGAGGCCAGGGGTCAACCTCAGCTGTCATTCCACATGAACCATCCACCTTGTTTTTTGATCAGAGCCTCTCAGTGGCTTGGCTAGGCTGAGCTCCAGGGGACCCTCCTGTCTCCCCAGTTCTGTGCTGAAACTGCACAAGATTACACCACACCAGCTTTTTATATGGGCTCTAGGAATGGAATTCAGGCCCTGGTGCTTGCAAGATGATCATTTATAGAGCATTGTTTTCTTCTTCCTGATGCTCCTCCTCCTCTTCCAAGTGGAATGAAGGGCATGTAAGAGTAGACAGGAGAGGTAGAAAGTAACATAGCAGTAGGCAAGTGGCAGAAAGGAAAGAGGAACATGAGAAACGGGAAGAGAGGAGCAGGGAGAGGGAGAGAAGCAGGCCTCCCAGCTTCTGTGCGAATGTTCTGGCCCTGTCCTGCCAGGCTGTGTCTGGCCTTTATCTGCTCAAGTGTATAGGAAACTACATTCCTGCAAAGTGGTTGGCCAGGACTGGAGCATTTGCTGCTCTTGTAGAGGACTGGGGTTCGGTTCCTGTCACCCACATGGTGGCTTACACATGTCTAACTCCATTCCAGAGGACCTCACACCCTCTTCTGGCCTCCATGAGCAGCCACATACATGCAGCATATACACATAGATGCAAATAAAAACTTTTTTTTTTTTTGTCTTTTTGAGACAGGGTCTCCCTGTATCCCCAGCTAGCCTGGAATTCACTATGTAGACCAGGCTGGACTTGATCTCACAGAAATCTGCCTGCCTCTGGAATTAAAGGCATGTGTCCCCATACCTGGCTGCAAATAAAAATCTTTAAAAAAAAAAAAAAGTGTGCCTGAGAGCACGCCCTTCGATTCAGACAAGATGGAAAGCAGAGGGCACCTGTATCCTTGGTTCTCTGGATGGGTGTGTAGGGATGTCTGTCCTCAGCCCTCAGAGGGAAAACTCCCTTTCTGTCCTTCTCTGTGCTCTTCAGAACCAGGAGAGGAAGCACAGGACCTACGTCTATGTACTCATCGTCAAGGAGGTGCTGGAAGACTGGGAGGATTCAGTTAACATTGGTAAGTCACTGCACCAGCTGGAAGGGGCTCCCACCTCACCCTCCAGGCCACAAGCACTGTCTGGCCACAGGGAAGCCGGTGCCAAGAAAAACGGGAAAGTATAGGTTAGTGAGCCAGCACCTACTTTTGAAATCAAGAACACTAGAATCTGAAGTTCTAGAAGGAAGGTTGAGAACATCCTGGCCTGGGGCCTCTGCCCAGCTGGGCCTGTGCTGACTGACCATGAGGACCAAAGGTGAGAGCAGGCACAGACGTGTGTCTCGTGACTCATCCACACTTCTGGCTGGGGCACACTTCAGTAGTAGAGGGCGCGCTCAACATGTGCAAGGCCCTGGGTTCCATTCTCAGCACCACAGACGATTCAGAAATTAAATATCAGAGCTGGAGAGATGGTTCAGTGGTTAAAAGCACTGGCTGCTCTTTCAGAGGACTTGGGTTTGGTTCCTAGCACCCACATAGTGGCTGACAACCATCTGTAACTACTTCCACAGGAGCCACACCCTTTTCTGACTTCCATGGATATTGCATGACCTGGGTGACTTATAGTCATGAAGGCAATACACTTATACACGTAAAATTAAAAAAAGATAAGTATAGGCCGGGTGTGGTGGCGCACGCCTTTAATCCCAGCACTTGGGAGGCAGAGGCAGGCGGATCTTTGTGAGTTCAAGGCCAGCCTGATCTACATAGTGAGTTCCAAGACAGCTGGGGCTACAGGGAGACCCTGTCTCAAAAAGACCAAAAAGAAAGTATTGGGGTTGGAGAGATGGCTCAGCAGTTAAGAACACTGTTCTTGCAGAAGACCTGGGTTCAAATCCCAGCACCCACATGGCAGCTGTCTATTAACTCCAGTTCCAGAGGCTCCAACAGCCTTTTCTGTGTCCTCCACGGGCATTGCATAACACGGGTGCATTTACCTACATGCAGGCAATACACCCATACACATAAAATAAAAA